TTTCATTGACCTAAAGTAAGAAGTAAGTCTTTTTATTCATACAACAACACTGAAAATAATCAACTTTCTTTTTTTTTAATGTCCATGAATTAACTTTTTTCTTACAAAAAAAAATCTCATATCGCTATTGCGAATTGTTGGTGCAAACACTTACTTAGAGATATTTCTTATCAGTAGATTCACATAGTTATATCACACATCTTATATCTTATATCTTTATTTGAATATTAATAATTCATTCACCTATGACTTTTTTTCTTCAATTTTTGTGTTATTCTTTATTTTTTTTTTCTTTTTCTTATCTTTAACAATCTCTTTTGTCTTGTTCTTAATAATTTATGAGTTTTTATCACTTAATATTTTTCATTTTTTGTTCTTTGCATTTTTTGGGCAGAAATCAAGTATTCCTTCTCACTTCTCAACGTTAAATAAACATTTTTATATTTTCTCTCTATTTTATGTTTTTGTTGTAGTTTAACTTCGTTACTGATCTTGGATTGTTTTGTGATTCTTTTAAGGTTTAATCAGATTTTCTAAAACTTATAACAACATTGTGATTTTTAAATGACTATTTGTTTGAGATATTTGCATATTATTTATAATTGTTCTTAGATTGTTGTCTAACTTATAAAATATTTGAAAGTTTATCTAGATCCCTAAAAACTCCATGCGAAAATGAGGTTCAATTATATTTTTATATGTTTTCTGTTCGTTACGAATTGTTTTTTTCTTTTAGTGGGGTACGATATTGGTATAAGAGATACAATTCCATTGCTTCTTAATCAGGCACATAATGGGTGCTTAGGTGCCGATTATTGACAATAAAAACTAGTGTATCGGTTAGAAACCCAATGCGGATATATTCACACCGTACCATCAAAAGTCTTATGGGTAGACCAAGATTTGCTCAGCATAAGTTTGAAGGGTGGGGTGAAGTACGGCCGAGACCCATATCGACACAGTTCAAAAGTTAAACCTAATTTATGTCATAATTATGTCAGCTACAAAAACACTTAGTTTGAATTTTGTCACCCTCGGGAACACTATGAACCAGTATAGCTGATTTTGGTCCAAATCTCGGCCATACTTAACACTTATTTGAACCACATTTTCTCGTAAATGTTAAAATATTATTAAAAATAATTATTATTATTTATTTGTCGACGTTACCGTCCGGAAGAATTAGTATTTATACATTTTTTACTTTTTACATTGATTAGTGATACATTTCATATCACTATGAGTGACGTAGAATCAAGCTTCTAATCTTCAAATCTAGGTTTCAAATAAACTAAGGCTCTCGTTTCAATCTTCTGTGGGCGTGACGTGATACATTTCAGGTCCGTTCTGACAATATTCCATTATAAGGTAATCTTGTAGCTCTCGTTCCTATTTCTCCCGCTACACTTTAAGTTCCTGATCCGTTCCTTAATCCAACGTTTCCCAAAATGCCCAATTATGGCTTGACTCGTACATTAAGCAGTCGAAGTATCTAAACTTCTGAAAAAGAACAAATTTGGAAATGGCTGGATTCGAACCGACGACCTTCGAGTTACCATACCAAATTTGAGCCAAGCGCCTTACCTATTCGACCAGCAAGGCACTTAACTGCTTAAAAAGTAATTAATTCTGAATTATGTCGCTGTTTTGTCAAGTATTTTAAGATAAAGAATCAAATTCACACAAAATTTTCAATTTTTGTGAATATATTTGTTTTTTGGTTTCCACAGTGAAGAGTATGAACAAAACTCAGATGGGGTAGTCTAAATTTTAGATTTTGATTTTTTTTAAGCTATGCATTACAAAAAGTAATATTGGTACGTGATTTATGTCAGAATTATGTCAATTCAAAAAAACATACAAAAAATTTTTTTGACCAAAGTACACCATAGAAAATCAATTTTCAATTTTGGACTAGGGGCGACCCTCGAAGAAAAAAGTGACAAAATTGATTTTGACTAGGGTCGCCCCTAGTCCAAAATTGAAAATGTATTTCCTACTTGGTTCTTTGCTCAAAAAAATTTTAGGATGTTTTATTTGTATTTGTTTTAAGGACTAAAATATTTATGCAAGTTTCAATCCATTTGGATAAACCCTCGAAGAAAAAAGTGACAAAATTGATTTTGACTAGGGTCGCCCCTAGTCCAAAATTGAAAATGTATTTCCTACTTGGTTCTTTGCTCAAAAAAATTTTAGGATGTTTTATTTGTATTTGTTTTAAGCACTAGAATATTTATGCAAAGTTTCAATCCATTTGGATAAACGCTCGAAGAAAAAAGTGACAGAATTGATTTTGACTAGGGTCGCCCCTAGTCCAAAATTGAAAATGTATTTCCTACTTGGCTCTTTGCTCAAAAAAATTTTAGGATGTTCTATTTGTATTTGTTTTAAGGACTAGAATATTTATGCAAGTTTCAATCCATTTGGATAAACCCTCGAAGAAAAAAGTGACAAAATTGATTTTGACTATGGTCGCCCCTAGTCCAAAATTGAAAATGTATTTCCTACTTGGTTCTTTGCTCAAAAAAATTTTAGGATGTTCTATTTGTATTTGTTTTAAGGACTAGAATATTTATGCAAGTTTCAATCCATTTGGATAAACCCTCGAAGAAAAAAGTGACAAAATTGATTTTGACTATGGTCGCCCCTAGTCCAAAATTGAAAATGTATTTCCTACTTGGTTCTTTGCTCAAAAAAATTTTAGGATGTTTTATTTGTATTTGTTTTAAGGACTAGAATATTTATGCAAGTTTCAATCCATTTGGATAAACCCTCGAAGAAAAAAGTGACAAAATTGATTTTGACTAGGGTCGCCCCTAGTCCAAAATTGAAAATGTATTTCCTACTTGGTTCTTTGCTCAAAAAAATTTTTGGATGTTTTATTTGTATTTGCTTTAAGCACTAAAATATTTATGCAAAGTTTCAATCCATTTGGATAAACCCTCGAAGAAAAAAGTGACAAAATTGATTTTGACTAGTGTCGCCCCTAGTCCAAAATTGAAAATGTATTTCCTAATTGGTTCTTTACTCAAAAAAATTTTAAAATGTTTTATTTGTATTTGTTTTAAGCACTAGAATATTTATGCAAAGTTTCAATCCATTTGGATAAACCCTCGAAGAAAAAGTGACAAAATTGATTTTGACTAGGGTCGCCCCTAGTCCAAAATTGAAAATGTATTTCCTACTTGGTTCTTTGCTCAAAAAAATTTTTGGATGTTTTATTTGTATTTGCTTTAAGCACTAAAATATTTATGCAAAGTTTCAATCCATTTGGATAAACCCTCGAAGAAAAAGTGACAAAATTGATTTTGACTAGGGTCGCCCCTAGTCCAAAATTGAAAATGTATTTCCTACTTGGTTCTTTGCTCAAAAAAATTTTAAAATGTTTTATTTGTATTTGTTTTAAGCACTTGAATATTTATGCAAAGTTTCAATCCATTTGGATAAACCCTCGAAGAAAAAAGTGACAAAATTGATTTTGACTAGGGTCGCCACTAGTCCAAAATTGAAAATGTATTTCCTACTTGGTTCTTTGCTCAAAAAAATTTTAGGATGTTCTATTTGTATTTGTTTTAAGCACTAGAATATTTATGCAAAGTTTCAATCCATTTGGATAAACCCTCGAAGAAAAAAGGGACAAAATTGATTTTGACTAGTGTCGCCCCTAGTCCAAAATTGAAAATGTATTTCCTACTTGGTTCTTTGCTCAAAAAAATTTTAGGATGTTTTATTTGTATTTGTTTTAAGCACTAGAATATTTATGCAAAGTTTCAATCCATTTGGATAAAGCCTCGAAGAAAAAAGTGACAAAATTGATTTTGACTAGGGTCGCCCCTAGTCCAAAATTGAAAATGTATTTCCTACTTGGTTCTTTGCTCAAAAAAATTTTAGGATGTTTTATTTGTATTTGTTTTAAGCACTAGAATATTTATGCAAAGTTTCAATCCATTTGGATAAAGCCTCGAAGAAAAAAGTGACAAAATTGATTTTGACTAGGGTCACCCTTAGTCCAAAATTGAAAATGTATTTCCTACTTGGTTGTTTGATTAAAAATATTTTAGGATGTTTTATTTGTATTTGTTTTAAGTACTAGAAAATTTCCGCAAAGTTTCAATCCATTTGGATAAACCCTCGAAGAAAAAAGTGACAGAATTGATTTTGACTAGGGTCGCCCCTAGTCCAAAATTGAAAATGTATTTCCTACTTGGTTCTTTGCTCAAAAAAATTTTAGGATGTTTTATTTGTATTTGTTTTAAGCACTTGAATATTTATGCAAAGTTTCAATCCATTTGGATAAACCCTCGAAGAAAAAAAGTGAAAAAATTGATTTTGACTAGGGTCGCCCCTAGTCCAAAATTGAAAATGTATTTCCTTCTTGGTTCTTTGCTCAAAAAATTTTTTTTCATCCAAGGTTTAATTTTAAAAAAAATCACAGTGAACTTTTGTTTTGAAAAATTCGTAAGAAAGGAAAGTTTTTTGCTTTTTCTGAAGCAACGGCTGTTCCTACCTTGCCTAAAAACATTACAGCTCTTCTTTATAGCAGCACGGATCAAATGTAAAAAACCAGAAGTCTCTACAATGTCTCGTTATTGAGATTTCTTGCTGTTTAACTTGCTTGCTTGCTTGCTTACAGAAAGCATATTTTGCGATTTTCTCAGCAATGCCGCAACCAATTTGAAATCTGTTTTTTGCAAAAGATGTGAGATTCAAGGCACAAACTTTTCATCTTTGAACATTTTAAGCTATCTTGCTCCATATCCTCACAAAATTCAAAAAACTGATTTTTCAATCTGAACAAAACCAATAGATTCACACGTGAAAACGGTGTGAATATAAAAAACTTGTCACCCCCCCCCCCCCCCCCCCCTGAGATTGAATTTTCATAAAAAAAATGTTTGATTTTTTTAACTTTAAATCGCAGCAAAAAGGATTAAATTAGCTTTTAATGATCAAATAGAGAATGTTTTAGAATATTAGAGAAGTCACAACATCACCAGCAGTTATATCATAGATATCAAATAAAATAAATTTCTTTTTTATTAGAAACATTTCAATAAAGCTCATGTTACCTTAAAAAAAATATAATTAAAAGATCACATTTTCATAATTAATTCTGTTTAAAAGTCATCAGGTTTCATTTGAGACTCTCCTTCGGCAAGATAGACATGCATAGCTCTGTGGAGCAATGCGATTCCCATTTGACGTTTTTCTCTCATCTGTTAATTTAAAAAAAAAATTGATAATTTAGTGCTATTGGCCCACCCAAGACCGAGATATTGGTCAATTTTCCTTACCGTATAAGCAGTTGCTGCGCCATAATAATCTCCTTTCTTTAAATTTGTAACATTATGCATTCCCAAAGCCTCAATAATGCATGCTTCTCGACTATACGCTTCCGATGGCATAACATTATGAAATATATGTAGACACACAACGCCGTAGTTCTCCTTCCAAATTTCAATAATCCTTTTCAATTTCTTACTTTCACACATTTTATTCATCTTGTCAAATTTCTGCTGGTCATATTTCTGAAAGTCATTAATCTCAGCATCTCGAGAATAGATTTTTATAGCATCATATAAGTGACTGTAAGGTCGAACGCTCTTGCCTTTTCCAACATAAAATATTGCATTCAAGAATTTCTGCCATAATTCCGATTTGCTCAATTGCTTCTGATGAATGGACATATTACTTGTAATTCTTGGGTCGAGCAAAAGGTAGACAAATGAAGTCTTTGAATTGCCTTCTCGCCACTTTAAATGATTCTTCTCTGAGAAGTGCTTAACCATCCGCTCTTCAAGCTTCAAATACTCTGTGATATTTTGTTCGAGATAATCATAATTTGTTACAGTTCGTTGGAGTTCTAATGGATATGCTGTAAATTGCAACCAAAGATAATGAGTTGTAAAAAGAATTTGTAGCATGTACAAAAAATTAACTTACTTATTTGTGAATTATCTGCAGGAACGATGCCAAGACGATTTGGATATTTCTTAAATTTGACTAATTTTTTTAAGTACAATTTCTTTGTACTTTTTGTTATTGGACCTGGATTATCACCGAAATTCTTCAACTCCTTTCTAAGTGTGTCTGTGTCGTAGTCTAAAGGCGGAATTGTCACAATTGTTGACAGACTTGAGTCACTTATTGCACAATTATGAATTCTATTCAAGTTTTCACGACTTTTACTGATTATTTTCTTTTCATAAAGTACGATTCCATTCTCAGCATCCGAATGGATATAATCCTCTTCATAATTTTCAATATAATCGGAAGACTTTAGTGGTAAGAGGTCAATCATTGCATTATTATGTCTACTGAGATCACTGTTGGCTGTCATAAACGAGTCACTGGATGATGCAGCTTCATATCTAGTCGTTTCGTCTGAAGAGTTACTCTTATTCAATAATGTCACATCATTGCAGCTGTTGAGATAATTAATATAACTATAATCAACTGTATTATCCTTTTGGATTTGCTGGATTTTGTCACGCCATGCTGCTATGTAGCTTTTTCTTTTATGAATTGCTATACGTTCAATTACGATTGGATTATGCATGAGCTTACTAAATGCCTTAACATTCTCTTCTGTCAACTCGAATAGATTCTTTTGTTCATTGTGAACTTCCTCATTTTCAACAAGTTCCAATGAACAATCATTATAACTTCTGGATGTTTTATGTCTTCTGTGAGTAATATTAATAAAATATGGAGATGTGGCATCAAAATTATAGTTTATTCGATTTGGTGTGAACTTTCCATGTTCAATATTCTGAATTGCATTAGTTACGGCATTTTTAACTGGTGTACCATCATTAAATAATTCATTCTTGACTGGAGTCTTTGGCACTTCTAATTTGTGTGATCTTAATGCTTCTTTCTTCTTCCTCTCAATTTTCTCCTCAAATATATGCTTCTTAATTATGTTAATTACTTCATAATGATTTTCCTGGATCGCATATTGAATGGCTGAATGTCCTTCGTTACATTTAAGACTAACATCACCGCTATGATTAAGGAGCATTTTAACTATATTATTACGTCCATAGATGCATGCTATATGCAGAGGAGTCAGTCTTGATTCTGGACATTCGCTGAATAAATTTGGATCTGCTTTTTTCTTTATAAACAATTCCGTGACTTTCTCAGCAAATTTATCATCCTCAAATCCAACAGCAAAGTGAATTGGAGCAATCTTGAGCTTTGGTATGATGACATTTGGATCTGCATTGTACTTTTCAAGCAGAACGATTATGTTGCTGGATTATTGGAATTAAAATTTTTCAAAACATTAAAAATTGAAAATAATTTATAAAATTAATTATTTCACCTTAAATTCACATCGTCAATAGCCTCAAACAGGCTTATAGCTAGCTGAACTTCTTTATTAAACATGTCTACTTATTGACCACTTAATTAACACAGCTTTTCATAGATAATTCTGATAATTCTTTAATTTCACTTTTTACTGTTTTGTTTTGATTGATTTGATCGTTATTTTTTCAACTTCACGTTGTATCTTGATTTTGAAATTTAAAATTCAAGTTTTTTTCGACCGTTATTTTTATTTGATGCTGGAAAAAAATAAATTAAACTAGCACCAATTTACTTTTCTGACATGTTTATTTATTACGAAAATAATGAAAGAATTTGATAAAAGAAGAAAATTACAAAATTAATAAACTTAATCAACTGGAACAAATTGAATTAAACGTTTAATTCGTCTCAGCAAAACATCTACAAAGTTTGAAGATGATTCCTGCGTAGCCAACAGCTGTTTAGAAAATGTCTCACTAAACACAGACACAAGATTTTGCTTCAATTTAGCAATCTCTTCATTCGTAACTTTCATTGTTCGCACTTCGGCAGTCAAATCACTTCCAATGCTCGAAAATCCATTCAATTGAAGTGCAGGCGTTATGGCACGTAGCATGTAATAATCCAAGTGAGACCACAATAAATACAAGCAATTTTCCAGTATGAAAATACAAAGCTTTAATTCCTCATTCTTTGCTGTTATTTTCTCTGTCAAGTGCTGATGCTGTTGTGTAATATTAACATCCAAACTTATTGTCGGCAAATTATTTTTCTGACGTAAGAATGTATCGTAAGTAAGCTTTTCGCGATTATAATGTTCCACGCAACACTTTAGTTGAGTCACGACAACACTCAAGTCGGGCGTCGATGCAGTCGTTTCCTGTGTCGATAAAATTTCGCTGTTAATTGAAAATAGAACTTTTGTTGTTCGATGATCGACTGAATGATTAGCTATGCAATTTCGTGCGTACAGAGCGATATTTGCAGCTATTTGAAGGAACACAAGATTCTTTTCAGCCTTTTGATTCTCAAGCTCTTCCGTTTCCATTGACATACCAACAATTTTATGGATTTCCTTTAAGTTATTATTACTTAATGTAAATCTTGGATATAAGCTCATCATTAACTTTTGTAGACGGTATAAATGAGCACCAATGTCATTATTTCCACTCGGATCCATCAAATCACTAATGCTCTGATTTGATGCTCTTGCAATGAGACTTGTTAAGCCTGACAATTCCTTCAACAATCCCAAATTCATAGAAGGCGTTCCAGCACGCAAAACAATCTCAACAATGTCCGAATGCGAGAGAAGGAAATGAGTTATTTGTGTGACAACTGATTGATTTTCAGGTCCAAGTGTCATTAAAATGACATCACATAAATTAAGTGCTGGAAATAGTATCTGCTGATAACGATGATTAATTGGTGGAATAAAGGAATTTTCATTCATATCCATCAAGTTATTAATTTGGAAGTCTGGATGTAAGTCAAAAACTTTCATTTGTGACAAAACGCCAATTACACGATGTTCAAGCAATAATTCAGCACCGACATAAGATGATGCGAATCTCGTCAACATAGCCATTTTCGATTCATAGACATAAAGTGCCTTCAAATTGTCAGGCTTGTTGTCTAGAATTTTCTGCAATTTATGATCGGTTTTAAGTAAGCTATCGATGATGTGACCAAGATATCCGCGAGAGGAAATGAAATTAATAAATTGAGTCATTGTGTCGATGTCTAATAGGAAATTAATGCTTGCAAAAGCTAGCATCCGAACGACATCATGTGCTGTTGAGTCATGACACAAAATATCAACAAGCTTGTCACCAAATGACTGTAAAATCTCAACAGCCATTTCTATTCTGCTGTTAGGATCTTCTTCATTGAATTTTCTCTTCATTATTGATCGATCAAGTCTTGATACATAAAAATCTTCTTTTTGTTCCTCAATTGCCATCTTTTCCTTATCATTATCACCTTTGATGATGTAAATAAAGTTCAAAAGTGCTGCATAAAGATTCATTCTTAATTTTTGACTTCCAGAACTTCCACTAATAATAATCCATTCAATAATGTTCTTAAAAATGTATTTTAAATGTGATGAATTTGACTTTGTTGGACTTAAATCAACTGACATTGATGTCTGATTCCCGAAAAATGTCGAATCTCTTGATTCATTTGAACTGCCTTCATTTCGCTTCATGCACGAAACTCTTAAATTCATTAACAGCAACAAAACAGTTGATGACGCAATATTTGATAATTCTGTAATGATTTGAGCAATTTGTGCAGGCACAACTTTCTTTAGTAACACTTCCAAAATTTCAATAATCAAATTTCTTTTCGTTTCAGGTGTAAAAAAGAATTGAGGCTGTACGCTGAATATGATTTCCGTAACTTGACTCCATGACTCCATAAATTTGACATTTGCATTTACGAGAAGCTTTTGCTGATTGGACTGTAAAGCATACATCATGATTGACTCAATTTCCTGCAATATAAATTGCCTTTGACCTGCTGCGATTGTTGACTGAACGGAATTAAGTTCCTCTTTTAAAATTCCATGAATTCTCTTAATATCAACAAGTTTAACTCCATTGGCAGTTCCAACAATCTCACAGCTAGCAAACAAGCTATTCATCAATGAATTATCAAAATGATCCCATTTTGGACGGTCCAGTGGCTTCAATTCAAACTCAACACAGTCAAGTAGTTCACAAATCATTTTCGATATTTTATTCCTTTTTTGTGGCATGCTCGATGTATCAATTCCAATTAATGACTGTTGATAATGAGCTAATTCCACTTGAACACTTTCGGTAAAGTTTGAGCTTGATGATAATCCTAATAAAATTTTACACATGCTTCCGAAATGACTTTGTTGATTCTTCTCAGCTGTTGCTTTAAGATCAATTGCTGCACATTTAAGCAGTGCTGTCATTTGATTCAAGACGTGATGACTTTCATTGTAATTATTAAATGGTAATTGGGCGACATGACGACAAAGGAAGTCACTACAGGTCCTCAAAAAACGCATAAAAACTTCAGAAGTTCTAAAATTGAAGCACAAGCTGTAGACAAGTCCATAAGCACTTTCCATTAACTTTAATTTTAGTGAAGGAATTACTGTGTTGGTTTTTACACATTCCAAATATTGATCCAGCATGTTAATTAATGATTTCGAGCATGTACTTGGAAAATCTAAAATTCCTGGTTGCTGCAAGTTGCTCTGCCTTATATCCTTGTTGATGTCAAATCCGAGTAAATAATGAGCTAAATTTGGAGCTGATTGTGGCAATGCATCTTTCAGTAAACTTATTATTTCCTCTTTAATTTCCATTTCCAGCGTAAATCCTAGTTCATTATCTCCATCAATGTCAACATCATTTTCTAAACATTCCACAAATCCTTGACGAATTTCTAATTTGACTCTTTCATTACTAGTAAGCACTCCAAGCAATTGATTGCTTACATTTGGCTGTAAAATTATTCGGTGAAGGATTTTAATAGCCATTAAAGCGTGTCGTGGCAACCATGAATTGTAAGTGACCATTTTGATAATATTCAGCATATGATCACTTCGACCACTTCTTGGATTAACATCCAGTAACAATTTAGAACATCCAGTTAATAAGATTGGACTATTTGCAGCAAAGTGTGCATCAAAAAAGACATGCTGCTTTTCTAGACCCATCGTTATTATACTTAATCCGTACATAATTGTATTTTCAAGTTGCTTCTTTCCACTAAATGGCGAATAACTGTCAAGCATCGTGCATGCTTCATCAATAAGATGCATCATGAGACGTAGAAATTCAGATTTTGTGTGTAATTGTAGTGTAATGTGAAATCCTGGCGGTGGATTTTCTTCATTTGATCCATGAGTTATTGGAAAATCAGATGGTGTTGGATCGTACATCCTCATAAACATTTCACAAATTTGAAGACATTTTTCAGCAACTTCCCATTTTTCTTGAGGATCCTTAAAGTTGCGATTATAGAATTTCAAAAACACAGATTCAATAATGAAAATTATGTACGGATCTAATCCAGTTTTTCTAGTTCCAGCGCCGAGATTTTTTGGAATAATAACACTCGATATTGTATGCAATAATTCTAGAACAGCTTTTGTCAATGGATAAGTTTCATTCCTCGACTCAATTTCCTCCAATTCTGATTCGATTCCTCGATTTCCAAAGTTACTAACTGATGGAACTGTGCAGATAATTTGAGACGTTTCTAATGAATTCCAAATCTGAATTGCAGTTTCACTGGATTTTCCTAATGCTGCCAAAGTCAACACTAAATTTGCTTTTAATGTTATAATTACTGAGCAGCTGATTAATCCGAGTATTATTGGAATTGGAGAATAATTTGGTTGTTCACAAAGTGCAATTCTTGCCACTTCATCGTGTGTAGCGACTGTTTTGATGACATGCAAAACTGCTTGTAATCCAGCTATTTCTTGCGGGCTTATAGCTCTTGAGAAGACCCTTGATCGGTAAACGGTGTCATTAGCTGGTTGCTGTTCACTTCGAAGGGATCTACAAAAACCGTTAGTATTCAAATTTTACAAAATCGTTAAATTTTAAGCAAAAAATTTAAATTACTCACTGATAATATCTAGCTAATGAAGTAAAGAAATGATCCCATGACACTGATGGAGTTCCAGAAGTCCCATTTCCTTGTTTTAAAAGATTAAAAGCATTTCTTGCTGCTTGAGGATTTCCAGATAGGCCAGAAAGCATCTTTAAATAAGGTATGAACAAGGTTTGTGGTAACAAATCTCCAGCAAGGCGCATAAATTTAAATAAACAAACTGAACGCGATGAGGTACGATGATAAGTTCCCGAGTGTTCCATTGGTCCCCAATATTCTAAACTTAATTGAAGATTCAGAATGTCATTTTCATAGAATTTTCCAATAGCACATAAAAGATTAGCAAAGTTGTTGTCGATATTTGATGGAGGTTCCAAGCCTTGTTGCTGATAGCTCATAACTGTTCGAGCAGTTTCGTCAGCCCTTGCCCTCAATTCTGTTACTTTTGTATGCATGATTTCAATGAAATCAGTGAAGAGGATGTGAAGTCGTCGATAAAAGAATTCTGTTCGAAAAATTATTGAATTTTCCATAAATGTGAAATTAAGGAATTCAAAGATCTTAAGATGAATGGCAAAGTCAACTAGTTCCTCGTCTTTTTCAATTAGTTGCTGGGAATTAGCATACAAATTCTGTGGCGCCATTCTCAAAGTTCCGCAAGCCAGTCCTAAAGCAAGTATGGACAATGCTCTCAATCCACTAGATTCCCATTTATCATTAGAGTCGGCAGCGTCATCATTAATAAGCAGTTCCGTCATAATATCGTCAAAGAAGCTTTCATCATTGATAATTGGCAAACGACGAACAACATCTTCTCCATCTTCACGTCGATGAATTATGCTTAAATCGAGTGCATATAAAAGTGTCATTGCTAAAGTTGTCGTGACATCACTCATTTCTCCTCGCGAGCCACTCAATTTGGACTTTTTAAGATATTCTATGAAAATTAATAATTTATTAGAAAATGGCATCAATAAGGGCTATTCTACAATCAATAATAATCAGATGTCGACCTGTAGCGAGCAAATTTTTTTTTTCTATTCGCCTTAGCGAAGCGAACTTGGCAAATTAAGTTCATTTCGACCTCTGATAATAATATTAACTTACGAATGAGCATAAGTGTGACATCCTTTGGCAATCCAGATTGTGCTGCATAATTGAAAATGACAGATGCAAGATTCTGGCGGATTTCTTCGAAAAGATCCAGGACCATTCTGTGATGCTTTGGAGGTCCAAGTGCTCGATTCTTAGTCAAAAGATCCAGTTCCTTACTAATATCGAGTGATTTGAGAAGATCAATGCATTTCTTTAATATTCCTTCTCCTACTAATGAATCTGTGTAGGCAGTGACTAGCTGAATTATATCTAATGAAACACCGTCTGTGCACCAAGAAATCCCCAATCGTGCCTGCATTAAATCCTTTAGTGCTGATGTTAAAGTTTTTCTTCCATCATAATACAACAATATTGCCACTAAACCTCTTGGTAAACCTGGATATTGTGGCATTTGCTGCTGAGCTGTTGTGAGTAGTTCCAATGCAATGAATTCATTTAAATTGTACATGTCAGAGAGAACAATTGTCTCATCAACTAAATCTTTTGAAAGTGTCGTAAGTCCTAATGTTGGCAAATTCACTCCATGTGTTACACCTTGCATGATTTCCTTTCTACTTCCATCGTTCTTTGGCTATAATGAGGAATAAATTAAGGAGTTAAAAAAAATCAACTGGATCCCAACATCAACTTACAGGATTTGTCAATAAAGATATGAAATGTTGTTTATTTTTCCTTAATAGAGCTTCAAAACTTGCCAAGTTTACATCTTGAGTATTTGATACTAAAAATGTCTGTATTTGGTGACTTAGATGCTTGAATGGAGACCATAAATCGTCAATTATAGCTGAAATTAAAATATAAACGGCGTGGATTTGTTATTTTCACAATATTTTGTATTTCGTCTTACCTTCACCCATTTTTGTAAATCAATTACTGCTGTTTGTCAATATTATAATGTATTTAAGTTATTTGCGGCTATAATAATTGCGTTTATTGATGAAATTAAATAATTTTTTGCTGAGAACGATATTTTTGCGCCGGTTGAAAAATAGTTTTTGATTTAAATTTTAAAAGTTCGTTATTTTTTTTAAATTCACTTTATTATTGTTTACAGCCTGCTAGTAAAAGTATAAAGCATAGTGTTCATAACGGTTGTTTTACATCTAAAGACTTTCGAAGGTCGACTCAATGTGAAGTCAGCTAAAAACAGGAACAAAAATTTGAAACAACAAAACAAGATATCCATTAATTTTATTAAAGAAAGCTAGTTTAAACGTAATTAAAGTATATAGAAGTGATTTTACAACTTAATTAAGAGCGCAATGTATCGAGAAAACATAAATTCATGGATATAACGTGAGAGTTTGAGTGAGAAAAAAGGAAAAAAAGTTCAATCCTTAAAAAATTAATGAAAAAAAAATATTTTTTTTTGAAATAAGTAAAGTGAATTGATAATAAATTGCCGTGCATCGAACATACTTAATTCATCATCATGAGATTTATCAATTACTAATAAGCACTTTTCCGATAACAGAGGCAAAGAAAAAAAGCTAAATTCTGGAAGAATTTTTCAAAGAAATTTTCCTTAAACTAATCATTCATCATTCAGCACGAAAAGTCTATCAACGAATCATCATGCAAGCCAAAAAGCGATATATACTCGTTGTACTGTCGTGTGCATTTCTAGCTTATTGTTATTTTGGCGGATATAGGATAAAAAAGTTATTTAATCTCGCTGGATCTTCACCAGAAAATTTGCCATCATATGTTTTAAGTCAAAATCGAATAAATTATCATAGCAGTAAATATAATGTGAATGGAAATAATCACAACTTTATCTTATATAAGTATGGAAATAGTAAGGATAACAATAGGATTAAGCACTACAAAGATATTGATGATCTCTATGAAATTCCGGAATATAATCGTTTAAAGGCATCAGATCATCACTATCATTCTCATCAGAAATCAAATGTTAATTTTAATGAGTGTACTATGGAAACATGTTTTGACTTTACTAAATGCTATGACGACTTTTTAGTGTATGTTTATCCATCAGAGCCAGTAAATTCTTTAGGAACGACACCTCCAGTGAGTGCTAATTATCAGAAAATTCTAACAGCTATTGTAGAGTCACGCTATTATACGACAGATCCAGAGAAAGCTTGTTTATTTGTTTTAGCCATAGATACACTCGATCGTGATTCATTGAGTGAAGACTTAGTGAGAAATGTGCCACAACGTTTGCAAAGACTACCATATTGGAATAATGGAAAGAATCATATTATATTTAATCTCTATTCAGGAACATGGCCATCATATATCGAACTGGGACTCGGTTTTGACCCAGGACAAGCAATTTTAGCTAAAGCCAGTATGAGTACTCAAACAATGCGACATGGATTTGATGTTAGCATACCGCTCTTTCATAAGCATTTTCCACTTAGAAGTGGACACACAGGAATGATAACGGCAAATAACTTTCCTGTAAATAAAAAATATTTACTCGCGTTCAAAGGAAAACGCTATGTGCACGGAATTGGCTCAGAGACGAGAAATTCTTTGTTCCACTTGCACAATGGTAAAGATATAGTGATGGTAACAACGTGTAGGCATGGCAAGAGTTGGAGAGAGCTACAAGATGGTCGTTGTGATGAAGATAATAGAGAATACGACCGATATGATTATGAGACTATTTTACAGAACTCTACATTCTGTTTAGTGCCGAGAGGACGACGTTTAGGATCATTTAGATTTCTCGAAGCACTTCAAGCTGGCTGCATACCCGTTCTTTTATCAAACTCATGGGTATTGCCATTCTCGCCTCATATCGATTGGAAGCAAGCTGCGATATGGGGTGATGAGAGATTGCTGCTACAAGTCGTTGATATTGTACGCTCAATTAGTCCATCAAAGATTATGGCGATGCGCCAGCAAACACAAATTTTATGGGAACGATATTTTAGTTCAATCGAAAAAATTGTATTCACAACATTAGAAATAATACGCGAACGCCTTCCCGATTATCCTGTGAGAAAAGGCTTAATATGGAATACATCACCGGGTTCATTATTAACGTTACCAACATTCTCTGATAACTTAAGAGATTTTCCATTCTATTTGGATGTATTGGGCTATGAGCCACGCTCAAATTACACAGCTGTCGTATTTGTTCAAGTTGGACAAGCTATTAATCCATCATCGGCACTTTATAAACTAGTCAAAAGTATAACAAAAAGTCAATTTGTAAATAGAATATTAATTTTATGGGCAGCAGATCAAAAAGTGCCATCACGAAAGAGATTTCCATCGACTGGACATATACCGTTGCATATAGTAACGTCACTTAACTCGCCGCAACAGCAAATGCAAACACATTCATCAATCGGTGCAACAGATGAGTCCCGTCCAAGCATATCACAGAGATTTCAACCTCATCCATTAATTGAGACAGATGCAATTTTGTCACTCGACGAGGATGCTATATTAAATACAGAAGAAATCGATTTCGCATATAACGTATGGAAATCATTTCCCGAGCGTATTGTTGGCTTTCCAGCTCGAGCTCATTTTTATGATGATTCCAAGAACTCATGGGGCTACACGTCAAAATGGACAAATTACTACTCGATCGTCTTAACCGGAGCAGCTTTTTATCATCGCTATTATAATTATTTATATACAAACTTTTTGTCGCATCTCCTTTTGAAGACTGTTCAGCAATCATCCAATTGTGAAGATATTCTCATGAATATGATGGTTTCGCATGTTACTCGTAAGCCACCAATTAAAGTAACGCAGAGGAAAGCATATAAAGATCGAGACAGTGTGCGAAGTGTAAGTATAGTTTTGATATTTGTGTGTGGCTTCCTTATTATTATTTTTTGGGATTCTGAGCCCCTATCGCATTCGTTATTTACGTTAAACGTCTCATTCATTAAATTATGTCTCATGATGCGAATCTAAACTAATAAATTTATTTTAATTTCCAGCCATGGAATGATCCAGATCATTTTATACAACGCCAAAGCTGTCTGAATACATTTGTTGCAGTTTTTGGTTACATGCCACTACTGAAATCCAATATGCGACTAGATCCAGTGCTCTATAAAGATGCAGTTTCAAATTTGCGCAAAAAATATAGACAAATTGAATTAGTAGGTAAAAGATAGCACTTTCTCTATAATTATTAAATATTCAATTCCGACACATTACACACAAAACGACACACACACACAGATTTTCCTATCTCACAGAGATTACAAAAACAGAAACATATATAGCCATAAAAACATAATCTATTGAAGTAACAGTAATAGTAAATTATAATTATAAACATAAAAATTATAGTCAAATCGCGCTTTCATATTCGATTATAGACAAGAGTGTTATCACTTAAAAAAATATTCATCGTTCTCCTAGAGAAAGAAAAAAAAAGTTTAATAACGTGTACGCATGAATGTGATTTTTTCCGTGTGAATGATAGTATCATTATACTGTAATAATCAACCAAAAAAAAAAAAAATCATAAATACATTGTTTACCAAAAAATACTCTAAGACTACGAGAATGAATCATAAGTTTTGTGAAAGTATGAAAGAACTCTGATGACTAACAAGTCCTTGAAAATATAAAAGTTATTTTTTACGATATTTCTTTTCGCAAGATGATTTGCCAGACTTCTTTACGATCTTATCATAATTTTGAAATAAAATTTCAGTACATTGTGAATTGTCAATCATTTATCAGCAAGGTGTCGAGAAAATGATGAACAATTTATTGCAAATTACCCGATTGCGAAATCGATTTGTTTTCTGCATGCTCAGGGGTGAGCTATTTGGGTTAATAGTCAATGTCAATAATTAATATTGCTGTTTATCTCATTCTAAGTTGTAATTTTTGTAAAATTCATCAATTTTTTCGCTATTTTTTAAATTCATAAACATTTTTAAAGTTATAAATTAGTAAAGGAACCCCCAGCAAAATTATGCGAAGGAGATCTCGTAAAAACAAGGAAGGTAACGTTACAAATTCATGAAATTAAGGAGAAGAAGAAAATATTTTTTTATCAAACGATAAAAATAAGTCATCACTCATTTGCATTTTTTGTACATTTTACATTCGATAAGTTTAAAGAAAAAATTAATTAAGTTACTTACAAATTTTGCATCACGAGCAAGCATTTTTATTATTTTATATGCAATAAAATAGAACAGAATTGAAAAGTTTAGCTACGAAACGGGACACTTAAAAAAATTATTATACAATCAAAATTCGAAAAGTAGTTAAGTTTCCTAATACTCACGTTTATCTTACAATTCATATCGCATCACCCAGTAATAAAATTAAATTTATAAAAAAATGCATTGTGATTCATTGGATATAAATAGGCTTCCCTATCTGTTTTTCCATCAACTCGTTTCAATTATTTTGTAAGCTATTATTTATGAAGCTCATTGTATGAGATCATAAGTTTACCTAGGTTGGATCTAGAGAATAAAGTTTTAGTTATTAATTATCTATTGCATAGATAATTGCCTTTTCTTAATCAGCATTTTCCTTTATGATGTGTGTATGAATATAAGTTTCTTTACTTTAAATGTATGAGATAACAACATTAATTAAGTATGCAAATTTTCTCTCACGTGTTATGTTTTTAAAGCGCACTTATCGACAGGAATGAATTTTCTCTTAAATAAGTTTTAAGTTTATCAATTTTAAATTGTCAACTAGCATGTTTACTAATCCAATAGTTGAATTACAATACCAAGTTTATTGCGAAATAAAAATTTCGTCCAAGGTTTAGTAACTGAACCCTCAGCATCTCAAATTATGCAAATTCATTCAAAACAATCCTCACATTTTTGACGCCTCCAAATAAACTATGCTTAAAGTTGCAAACAATAACGCAAAAGAAGATTCAAAAGATAATTAGACATTTTGCTGATAAAATCGTGTAGAAGATCCATACACAAAGAGAATAGAAAGTATGCTAGAAAAATTTATAGCTAAAGCGTGATGAGAAAATTTAAATACTAATATGAAAAAAATATGAAAATCATCTCTCATAAAGGAATAGATAATATATGTGCATTTTTTGCTGAGTGCAATATCTGAATAATTTTGTTTTGTACATGCATGCATTACATTAAATATGTATATTAAAATGGACCAACTGATACCAAAATTGGAGAAAAAAAAAATTAATTGTTGGAAAAAAAATTAATTAGATGAATCAGAAAAAAAAAAGATTTTTTATATGTTGTAGTCGTAATTAATTTTTCTTATTATTAATGTAGAGAAAAGATTCATTGCCAAATTAGATTATGATTTATGTATTGTAATTTATTAATTTGATAAGTTTAAGAGAAAATCAAAAGAAGAATCCATATCTAAATTTCACAAATTAGCAATTTCTATCGCCTCAAATGAAATTCCTTAATTTCCTCCGCAATAGCAATCGAGTATGTACGATTTGAATTACATGAGAAAGACTACAATAAAAATAACAAGAACATATAACTTCATTTTATATATTTTCAATTTTTTTAATCAAACATATTTTTATAACGGTAAAATAATAATAATATTAATAATGGTAATGATAAAGAGGAACAGAAAATGAGGATAAATAGTTTTAATGAATATTGTGAAATAAAAAAAAAAGAATGAAATAATGGAAAATAATTGAAAAAGGAATCAAATAAATGTTGACATTTGTTATAAAACTTAGTGTTTTTATTTTATTGTGCATGATAAAAGCTGTGCAACTTTGGGGCGTATTCAATCTTTAATGTTAAGACTTATTTGAAAATAGTTGACCAGCATCACCATGTTCAACATTGGTATATCAGCACTTTAACATATTTTTTGAACAATAGAAATTAATCAGCCAATAAAATAAAAGCTTTTTCAATTGTGTAGTTGAAAACTTCAATCCGCTTTAACAATTTTGGATATTAAAGAAAATTCCCAAGTTTCATCAATTATCTTCTACGCAATGTAATAATAAGCAACTTATATCTCCTATTTCCTGAATATTATTACAGTGAAATTTTAATTTAATCCAATGATCATTCATAAATTCTTTTAAAACACCAGTTTCATGATCTCAACTGTATGGAATTTGGAACCTGACAAAAATATCATTTAACAATAGACCAACAACTGTGAGTATTAAAATTTTAAATTATTAATTTACGATGTATGGGGTTAGTCACGAATGAAGTTTATCGAAACATGTGTGATAATAAGATGCTCTTGACCTTGTCAAACTGATTTTAAAGTTCTCTTCTTCTGATCCCCCAGATCAACTATCTTGTTGAGTGTTGGACATTATGGATGCACAAACCCTACGCAATTTTATTTTTACTACCCAACAGTTTTTGTAAAGTATTCGCAATTTAATACTTAACGTCAACAACAATCTTGATAGTGTCACATAACAAACCTTATCAATTTCACTTTCTAGTCCTTATTTCAACATGATGATAAATTAACTTGCTTTTTAAGTTAGACGACAACAGGCAAAATTGCATTGCTAAAGTCTATTGCCTATTGGTATCTACTTAACCAGCAAATTAAGTTAACCTCAGCAAAGATTTGATCCTTTTTATTACAGCATGATGATGGAATAACCTGCTATTTAAGTTAGATGACAACAGGCAAAACTGTTTTAAAAATCTATTGCCTATTGGTACCTACTTAATTAGCAAATTAAGTTACGTTGAGCAAATTTGCTCAGAAAAGACTTGGTCCTTAAAAACGTCACGTGATGACAGATTAATTTGCTTCTAAGTTAGACGACAACAGGCAAAATTGTGTAACTGTATTCTATTGCCTATTGGTGCCTACTTAATTAGCAAATTAATTAAAATTCTTGACGACTTCTTCTTATTTTTTGGAAAACTTCTTAACTGTTCACAAAACTAGTTGAAAGTGATGAATATTTAGGAATTGCATGCTGCATTTATAGGACATTTAAAATGTTGATAAGGCATAGGATGTGTTTTTTGACGATGAAATCTTTTGAGTCAACTTATGCTACTTTCTTATGATTCATGCTAAAGTTCAATATTCATTCATAATCTTTTGGGTTATTGCATATTACTTTACTTTTCATTTCATTCATACGTCGCATGACAAAAAATATCACAGAATCTCTTTACTATAAAAAGTGATAATGCTTATATGTTGACTTAGACTTTGCTATTGATTTTTTTTAAAGATTTGACTTCTTTTCTTTTCTTTGTTCACTTTGAAAAGATGAGATTGACGAATTTTTTTAAAGCACATGAGATGAATCATTAAAATAAAATTTATGTTCCTCTACTGGGAATTCATCTTGTCGTATGGATAGCAGTGTTGCATTCTGACCATTTGTCTGGATCAGATAAATTCTGAGACAGAAATTTCTTCATAAAATCGATTCTACATGTAGAAAGAAAAAAACCATCTACATGTAGATTGTGTCTACATGTAGAATCTGTCTACATGTAGATTTAATGTAGATGTCTACGATTCTACATTCTTCTCTGATGTAGACCTGGAAAAAATGTAGAATTATAGACATCTACATCGAATCTACATGTAGACAGATTCTACACGTAGACACAATCTACATGTAGATGGTTTTTTTCTTTCTACATGAAGAATCGATCTTTATGAAGAAAGTTTCTTAGCTAGACAAAAACTATTGAAGAATCTACATTCTTCATCTAGTATAGACATCTACATTTGCAACACTGATGGATAGAATATATTTTACGCACATTATATCAAAAATATATGAACACAGAAATTGATATTGGATGGTTATCAACGACACATTTTAATCGCGATATCTATTGAATATGAATTTATTTTACGGTAGAATAAATTGTGTAGATTTTTATATCTTCCTTGATGACTAAATTTGAGTGGCTGATAGAACTTTTACATGAAATAAATTCGATTATTTTAGAAATTAACGAATTAGGTTAGGGGCTGTTCACTTATTACGTAACGCGAAAAAATGACTTCTTAGACCCCCCCCCCCCCTCGTAACAAAATTTGTATGAAAAAAAAATTTCCTTGTTTGAACCGTAACAAAATCTTAGACCCCCCCTCCCCCTAAAAGCGTTACGTAATAAGTGAATGGCCCCTTAGATCAAGGCCATAGAACTCCCAAAATATAGCCGTGAGTGAGCATTGTGCAGTAACGTATACAAACTATTGAGTAAAATTAAGTTAATATGAGCAAAGTGTAGTTAAATATTGTAAAGTGAAGCAAAGTAAACCAAAGTATAGTAGAATGTAGCAAAGAGTAGCAAGTGTAGTTTAGGTATAGTAAAATGTTGTAAGAGTATAGTCAGTATAGTAAGAGTATAGCAAGTGTAGTAAAAGTATAGAAAGTGCAGCATCCTAAAACTGTTTAAAACTTTAAAAACCAAAATGTTTAAAGTTGATGTGCAATAATTTTGAAATAATGCATATTTTACCATACCATTTATTTATAAATAGTCAATATTATCGCAACTTAAGAACCGCTTATTATTTGAAATTTCATGCATTAAAATTCTTTTAAGTCTTGAGAAAATATTAACAAAGATAAAATGAATCTTTTCTCATATAAATAAAATAAAACTGTTAAACTAAATTCAAATATTTCAACATTAAGAATGTCTTCCAAATTTCGAAGAACAGTAACGAAAGAAAAGTGCACTCATAGAAATAATTGTATGGTTTTGAGGAAAATCAAATATTCAAATATTTGATTTTTCCGATTTGTATGAAATTTCAAATATTCGATATTTGGTTTTTTTCCAAAACCATACAAATTCTAATATTTTTTCTATGAGTGTGAGAATAAATGTTTTTGATTTTGTTGGTTTTAGGGAAAATGAAATGTTATCAACACTTTTGATATTTATTTTTTAAAAAGTTTGTTGGAAAATTAATCTTGTTGAAATAAAAAACTAGCATACGGTAAAATAAATTTAAAATATTACTTTTCCCTTCATTCAATTTTAAAATGCCAATAAATTGAAACTAATTTATATCAAGCTCGTTTTTATAGCTTTTTTAAAAATTTAAACTTAATACAAATTGTCCTTATTAGTTTTTTTTTAATGTGAGGTTGCATGAAAAAATCAAATTCAAGTCAATTCGAGAAGAAATTCTTAAAGCTAAAGCAAAATTTTTCATAATTTTTTAATAATTATTAAAAAACATTTCTTCTGAATTTTAAAATAAAGTTTTCAATGAAAAATACTCATCTTTAAAATCAAACGTGGAACATTTTAGGTTTTTTTTTTTTTAATTTTTCAATTTTTCTATACTATACTTTTATTTTTGACAAATTTCCTTACAAACTTAAGGTATTAATTAGAAATTTCTTTGTCGTGAATGAAATTATTTCTGCCTTAGCAGCATTAGTGCTTTATGTTTTTGTAAGCTCTTTCTTTTCCATCAGCTAAATTTGGTTAAAAATGATAGAATAAAAAACAAATAAAGAAATAATATTTAAAATTCTATAACCTTTGGTTAAGTTTTTAAACATTTTCTTTTAATTTTTTTTTGAAAGTATGAGTATAACGTATTAATGGACCACATATTTAAGAGACCTTTAACTATTTAGATTGAAATTATGCACTAATTAATTTGATTAAAAATAAAGTACAGAAAAGTAGGATTAAAGTTCACTAAAGTGTAGTAGAGTGTGAAAAATTTAAGCTTAGTGTGGTAAAGTGTACTACAGTATAGTAAAGTAAAGTAAAGTGTAGTAAAGTATAGGTTAGTATACTTAAATATAGTAAAAAGAAGTAAAGAGGAGTTAAGTGCATAGTACATACATTGTATAGTAAGTGTACTGAAACATAAGTAAAAATTTGTAAAGTTGAGTAAAAAAGTAGTGATTGCAGACATAGTGCAGGGAGTTCTATGGCCTTGGGTTAGATTAGATTACTAATCATGATCTGAAAACTCTTGACTTGATATTAACTTAGAAGAAACTCATATGAACTTTCTAAGACTAGACACTTAATACAATCGCATCCAAAATCAAATAAATATTGCAACGCTAATAAAGAATCTCGTTTCCCTATTCACCCAATAAAAATTCTTTCAACGAAATTGAACAAAAATTTCATAAAAGTGAAAAAAAGTTTATATAAATCTATTCAGAACAAAATTATTTTTATTGATCATCTTTCACACCGAAAGGCAATTTTGCGATTTTTTTTTTGTGTTTGATAATAAGAAGAAAATGACCTTCGATTTATTTTTGAAAACACATAGGATTTTGAGAAAATTCACTGATCATATTTTCTAGAAACAAATATGTGCATCACATTTAAAAAGATACATTTTGTTAAAATATCAACTGATTTACACACTCTTAGACTTCCGTATTAATTTCGAACAAATTTTGCAACTTTTAATGACGTCAAGCCAGCATGAGGAACACAATGAAATCTATTTTTGTGCTCGGTATAATTAATTTCAAGTAACGTCATCCAGTGCGTTTCCAACCGTGGCAAAAAATAATTTTTAAGTCAACAAATCACATCTGCAATGTGCCGAAAATAAAATTGTTTTGCTAATTAAAATAAGCTAGTGTCGTACTGTAAACGCCTCAGATTTATTGCATAGATTCAGGCGAAATATTTCTACCTTCAAAATTTTTGTTATCTCTTGATGAGTTCATTACTCATCCAATTAATTTTTTTTTTGTTTATTCGGCTCTCAATTGTCAACATTTAAAGACGTAATCTCGATTGTGCACAAAACAAATTTCAAAAAAATCAAAAAATTTGCAAACAAAATTAAAAATGTGGAAAGTTCAGCCAACAGAATTCCTTAAAAGAACTTTAAATCCAATCAGAATCTTATGGGAAACGAATCAACCAAAAGGAAATCCAGAGATTCCAAACATTTACTTGCAATTAGGAGATCCAACAATTTATGGGAATTTCCTTCCACACTCAAACTGTGCAAAAGCAATTTCTTATGCAGTTTTACATGACAAATTTTCTTATCTAGAAAGTTCCGGACTTAAGGAAGCTAGAGAAGCTGTTGCTGAATATTGCAAGCATATGGGAAATGTCACAGCGGATGATGTCTTTTTAACAACTGGATGCTCAATGGCTATCGAGACTGCATGTCGTGCACTTGCTAATCCTGGTGAAAATATTTTGACTCCAGAAATCAGTTGGAACTATACGACATGGATGAACGGTGTTGGAATTGAAGCTAGAGGTTACAGTTTGCTTCCTGAAAAGGAATGGGAGATTGATTTGGATCATTTAGAGAGTTTGATTGATGATAAAACACGTGCGATTGTCGTTAATTCTCCAGGTATTTTTTTTATTAAATTTCACCATAACGTAGCTAGTTGAAAAATCAGTGCAATATACAATTTTAAATTTATCTCGCTGCTAATTTTCCACTCTAAATAATCTTTGCTGTCAAAAAACTAATTAAGAATTACGAAATCATTCTTGTTGACAACACTAACCCACATCTTATTAATTAAAACTCTTAACATGACACTTTACTCATCACACTTTGCTTTTCAGGGAATCCTTGTGGAAATGTGCACAGCAAGAAGCACATTCTTGAAATCATTGCTCTTGCTGAAAGGAATAAACTCGTTATTATATCTGATGAAATTTATGAATTTTTTACGATGCCTAATGTTGAATATCATTCATTCGCTGAATTGTCAGAAAATGTTCCTGTTTTGGGTATGTCTATCTTATAAGCTTGATAGAATTCATACATTTTTGTGTAATTCAATGCTCAAAAATATCCCAAAAAACCTTATCAATGACCCCACATTAAAGTTCAATTTTTTTTTTAAAAAAAACTAGTTTGTTCTGGATTGACAAAAAGATTTCTGATACCAGGCGCGAGATGTGATTGGCTTGTTGTCAATGACCGAGGAAATAAGCTTGAAAATTTACGGACAGGATTTCGTAATGCCGCTGGTCGAAATTTCTTTCCTAATAGTAGCTTGCAGTATGCATTACCCAGTATATTGAGGGACACTCCGCAATCATTTTTCGATGAGAACAACCAGAAAATTTATGTAAATAATTTATATTTAATTTGAATTAGTTTCTTTCTTGTACATTGTGCTTAAAGCATCACATGTCTAAAATTCAATATCAAGTTTTAAAACAATTTTACTTCTAGAAAAACGCACAAATTGTTTTCAACAAGCTTAAATCTGTGAAAGGACTAAAGTCATCAATACCAAAGGGCTCGTTCTACATGCTCATTGGGATAGATTTGAACAAATTTCCAAAAATAGAGACAAGCTTGCAGTTTATGCAGATGCTCGCAGATGAACAAAGCGTTTTTGTGCTTCCATCTGAATGCTTCAATTATCAAGGATTTATTAGAATCGTATTAACAGCTACTGAGGAGATGCTTGCTGAAGCTAGTGACCGAATTAAAAAGTTTTGTGAATGTTATTATGAATATTAAAAAATAATTGTTTTAGAACTTGAAAAATTTACTTTTGATTCAAATTCAAATATGCAATATGCTACGCAGATCTCTTCCGCACATTTGATCTTCTAGATCAAATAACTTGGTTATCTGACAAATATTTAATCTTGAGATGTTTTTGTCAAAAATTAAAGGCGTGCGCGTTAAACGTAAAAGTCAGCTGCTGCCAAAACTGTAATCGTTTTTATTTGTAAATCTTAACGTGCAAAACGAAACAAAACAAAGGCTTAATCTTGTGACCTCCGTAGAAGTGTAAATAAAGTTTTTTCTCTCGATAAAGAGCTTCGAGATCGTTCCCCGAGAAACGTTTTAATGAGCTTAGGGTGATCAGATGAATTTCTTTTTTGGGGACACACAGCAAATTTTATCTACGGTTAAATTATTCTATTAATTTTATCTACGGTTCATTATCTACCATAATTTTAACAAAGGGTTTTCGGTATATCACTTAAAATTTAAAAACTATGCAATATTAAATCAATTTCGTTGAATCTTTCAGCGATGACATTAAAGAAAATATTTGGAAATCAGATCTTAGATGTGCGAAATTCGTTGGGCATCCTATTAGATCAAGACAAACATTTTTCTAAAGAAATCTGGAGTAATAAATCAAATTTACGTGATGAATCAAAAGTTTTCCTGATAAGCTTTCTTTTTTCACGATCATTCATTCTTCATTCTATATCGTACTATCTCGTTTTCTCTACGTCACTTTAAATTTTACGTATTACGAATTTCCATCGAGCTATATAAGTGGATCTCAGCTATGCTTTAATTATAGTATCGTTTTGAACTTTCTCAAGAGCTAACTTTAAATTGAATATTTTTTTTATACTTGAAAAAATTTAAAAAGTAACTTCAAAATGCCAAACGTAATAAGTGCTGATTGGAAGCTTCAAATGTCGTCATTTGCACGACAAACAATCAATCCACACCGACTAATGGTTGAGACTTCAAAAGTCTTTCCGAATCCAGAGAAAAAAGTCATTACACTTCAACTAGGGGACCCGACAATTGGAAATTTTTCTCACCCTCCAGAAGCAGTCGAAGCTATTCACAACGCATTGAATAAAGATACATTTTCATACTACCCAACAAATGGAATACAGGAAGCACGCGAAGCTGTTGCCGACTACGTTTATAAAAATGATGGAACTTTAATAGATGCTGATGATGTAATTATTACCAGTGGTGGTTCAAGCTCATTAGAATTGTGCTTCTTTCTTCTTGCAAATCCCGGTGAAAATATTTTAATTCCAACGCCAAGCTTTAATTATAAGACATGGCTACATGGACCTAATATAGTATCAAAAACTTACAAGCTTGATCCAACGAAACAATGGGAGATCGATTTGGATCATCTTGAATCACAAATTGACAGCAAGACTAAAGCAATTCTGGTTAATAATGTTGGAAATCCATGTGGAAATAGTTTGAGTAAAAATAATATTCTTGAAGTTATTGCTATTGCCGAAAGATATCGCCTTCCAATAATATCCGATGATATTTATGAACATTTTGTTTTTCCTGGTGTGCAATATTATTCAGTTGCTGGTTTATCTAAGAATGTACCTGTTTTGAGCTGCTCAGGGCTCACAAAGAGATTCATCATGCCAGGAATCAGACTTGGATGGATTGTCATTCATGATCGTAGTAATGCTTTTAAGGAAATTCGTAGAGGATTCACTCAACTTCTTGGGAGAAATTTCGGACCTAATTGCAGCATTCAAAAAGCATTACCAGGAATTTTAAAAAACACACCACAGACATTCTTTGATGATACTGTCAGTCGGGTTCAAAAGCTTGCGCTCACTGCCTTTAATTTAGTAAAGGATATCAGGGGATTAGTTCCAATTGAACCAAATGGAGCTTTTTACATGATGGTAAAGATTGAACTTGAACATTTTCCAAAATTTAAGAACGACATCGAATTTGTGGAAGCATTGACTGAGGAACAAAGTGTTAAAGCATTTCCAGGTCCATGCTTTGATTTTCCTGGATATTTCAGGTTTGTGCTTACTGTTCCAATGGATAAATTAATTGAAGCTTGCGAGAGAATCAAAGAATTCTGTGCAGATCACTTTATAGACGAGAATGAATGTCAAAAACTGATAATTGAAGTTCCAGAGAAGCAAGAGGTCAGTAACATGAAAATGGTAGAAATCACAGTAACATAAACCAATATATTGGTCATAAATTAAGCACTCCATAAATTAAGTCTGAAAAAAGTAATCAAAACTTTAATTAAAAGTACCTTTATATATAATTAAGCTATAAAAAACGTTTATAGACCTATAATTAAACTGAAAAATAAAAGAATTTAATAAAATAAAGTGATACTAAATAATAAAGATAAAAATACTTTTCGCACGCTTTTATTGCTTATCAAAAAGTAAATTCTATAAAAAATATAGTTCTTATCAAAATTTTATCCCAATGGGAATTTCCTTCTTGTCATGCTTACGTAAAATTCTCAATAAATCATTTCTTTTCAAGAGATATTAGAAATGTAATCACGATAACGATAGCGTATACTATATAAATAAATTGGAGATTTTAATAAGGCACATATTAATAATTACTGATTATTTCATACAAATTAATAACTTTCATTTTAAAATTTTTTTTTTGAAATCTTTACTGATACAGTAAGCTAGTATATAGTATTCAAATCCTTAAGACAGTCAAGACACCTTGACCTTCTTTTGACGAAAAATAAATAAACATCCCTCAAATTCTTGATGTAGTAAGGGGCTGTTCACTTATTACGTAACGCGAAAAAATGACTTCTTAGACCCCCCCCCCCTCGTAACAAAATTTGTATGAAAAAAAAATTTCCTTGTTTGAACCGTAACAAAATCTTAGACCCCCCCTCCCCCTAAAAGCGTTACGTAATAAGTGAATGGCCCCTAAGTGAATAACTCCCACTTTAAATTTAATGTGAAACTCTAATATCGCATTAAAGTAGCCACAAACTATGTCCTATTTCTACCCGAAATTTCTCTAAACTATTAACTAAATATAATAAAGCTACACAATTTTGGAATATAAAAAAATGATCATTTAAGTGTCTTTTGGTTTCCTAATCGCTAATTTATAGAAACTTTTTACCCAATTTTATTAATTTAAATTTTATACTTCGTATTTATTCCTTTAAAAGTCTCAAAAAAACATTTCCATAATTTTCTCATGTTTTGGAATTTTCAATAGAAAATTCACTCATGTCACGTAGAGGCACTTCTGCTTCACAAAACTGGGATGGATTTGAATTATTTAATTTCTTACGTCCACCTGTGAATAGAAATAAGATTTTTAATAGTTTTGATTAGTTCCAGAATGAATATCTCTCCCACAAGTCATCTATAAAGATATACTCACCAACATATGTCAAAAGAACAGGTAAGAATATCAGTCCATGAGCAGCACCAAAAAGAACAATTCCTAAATACATTCTAAAGTAGAATACTTGGAAAATTTGACTTTGTGCGAAGCCAAGAATGAAAATTCCACCGAACTTTGTCAAAGTGATGCCAGAGAAAATTGAACTGCCCATTCTTGTCAGGGAATCTTTAACTCTTTCAAGACTTGTATTCTCATTTGATGATCTAAAGCTATGCACAAGATGTGTGCAAAATTCGACAGAAATTCCAACAGTCATCACGAGATTAACAAGTGATACAGCATTCAATGTGATGCTCCAGAAATACATAAGACCGCACATATTGGTCACTATCATTGTAATTGTCCACACCACAACCATTGATAGTTTTATGTCGAATCCCATTAACACAAAAGTAACGATGAATATTGACAAAATTGAAATTCCTAAACTCCGGATTGTATCTGACCACATTGTTAAGTATTGTTCATAAAACACATAAAATATTGAGTACGGAAAGACTTCAATGCCTTCAATATCTGATTCTGCTCTACCAGATAACCGCAATGAGCTTTGTATTGTTTTTGTGATATTTGCGGATATTTTTCGAGCTGATCTGAGTGCTTCATAGAAGTCATGTGATGTTTTAAGTATTGTGTGGTAAGTCATGAAGTAGCTTGCATCGACTGTTTTATATTCATTTAATTTGATTGCACTTTTGTAGGCAGCATGACCACCTTTCGCACAAGATGAATCAGGATTGTCTTCAGTGAAGAAGCTAACATATTTCTCGAAATCTTTTGGAACCGGACGATTAAACTCATTATGTGAAATTTTACAGTTTCTACAATTAGATGATGTATGTGGACAGAACAATGTGTCATTGGACTTTTTGTGTTTACAGCAATTACTTAATTCACTCCAATCAAAATAATCATCAAGCCAACTACTTGCAGGTTTCGCAATATAAGTTGATTCCGGTATCTGAGATGCTAGGTAAACTTGTGTTGACAAGCTATCAGAATAACAGTTGAGTCCACCACAAATTAAATTCTGATCAATTGTATTTGAAAAATTCATGCCTCCTTTAAGTACGAAGTATGTTGGTGCACCAATCAAAAGATATTTTTGTAAATGCTGGAAATATTTGAGTACAAATGAATCCTTTGGCATTGATAATTCTTGATCGAGTCCAATTTCAATTTTTGGAATTACATAAATACTTGAGCATAGCCACGCAAAGAAAACCAGCATGACAGCAATTCGGATTGGTTTTTTCATTAAAAATGGCACATAAAATATTTTAAAGAATTTGTATAAGACACGCTCATTATGTTCATTATTGGAACTGGAATTTTTCTTAGATGCACGAATACAGCACAAAATATCCCAACGATTGCCATTTTGACGTTCGGCATCTATTGCCATTAAACTGACAAAACAAGTAATTTGCAACAAAAAGTCAATCAACAATGCCATACCAGCATAAAGGGCAAAAGCTTTAACAGCTGGCATATCAGTCAAGGCACCGAGGAAGAAACAAGTTGACTCACTTAAGGAGGTGATTAGAATTGACGGGCCAACTTTTGAAAGAGTTCTTCCAATATGTTGTTCATTTGTCTCATTTAACTTTCGAGGTTCTCGTTGATGAGTTTGGACCATAATGAAAATGTTATCAACTCCCACAGCGAGTACAAGGAATGGAATGACCTCAAAAATAATGAGTGTAGCTGGAACTCCACAATATCCGAAGAATCCACTAGATGCTATAACAGATGCAAGGACAATGATAACTCCACAAAGAGATAAAGAGATTTTGCTGTCAATCATCAGTCGTTTAAATTCAGTTGCATGACCAAGTGAGAATGCAATGTAGACAAACATGAGAATGTATGAGAATAATATCGTAATTATGTCTGTTCTCGATCCACGATCCAATTCATCTTCTATTGATCTTTCTGATGTAAATGCAATGTCAAGTATTGATGAGATATTCTCATTTTTAGTCCAATTCTGCATTAATTCGACAAACTTATTTTCCCATTCCATAGCTGCTTCCTTGTCTTTTTGATTCTGATAATTATTAAGTAAAAATGTAAGGATTACTGTATTAGATTTCTCATAAGGAGGACTCTTTGGTAAGTTCTCATTTGGCTTTAAAAATCCACCAAGAACTACAGCCGGGTCGATTGGTCCACCATAAGGAGCAAAACAAGTGGCATCATATGCATTGTAAAAGCATCGCAAGAAGTGATCTAAATAATTTTCCTTAAATCCTTCGACTGTTGATTCTCGATAAAAACTAGACTTTTTGGTTATTCTATCACCTAAAAATCCCCAAACGCTTTGTATCAGACAATTACTGATGTCTTCTTCCATTTCATTATAGGGACTTCTAAATGGCGCATAACACAAATCACTCAACTTCCCATTGTCAATTTTCTTGATCGAATTTTGAATATGAAAGACATTCAACAAGAATTCTCTACTAAAAGCTGGTCCAAAGGTTATAATACCATTAGCTGTCGGATGTTTAATCTCAGATAAATTTTTTGCTGTTATTATGACTTGTTCAATTCGATAAAATGGTCCAAAATGCGAATCGAAAAATTCCTTTTCAACACGTGACCTTGAATTCGGTGCTGCCCATAATTCGATTGGATTAGTTGTGACGTGAAGAAAGCGAAGACCGTATGCAAAGCATATGAAGAATAATAAACCTGTTTTGGGTACAGAGATTAATTAGTAGGTGGTTGATTAATTTCATTTAAATCTTTAGAAAAACAAATATTGGAGTAATTTTTTTTAATAAGTGAAAAATTGCTATCTCAAAACAACCCTTTGCTCATTTAATTATCCAATGTTTAAACTACTGACTGAAAGAAGTTAATCTTGACTTTTAATTTAAATTCAATCATTGTCAGATATGATTCAGTAATTAATTTGCATAAAAATTCCATATTTAAATAAAAAAAAATCAACTTACAAATTAACATAATCTTTAAGGGATGCTTAGCACAAAATGTTCCCCATGATGTGAATAAATCTTCAAGAATTTTTTCAATCTTATCAGCAGTTTTTTCAAGAAAGCTAGTTCTCTGTTGGTTGTTTTCTCTCTTATTCTTAATTTCGCTATTTGATGTCTTAATTGCAAATATGATGAATAACAAACTTCCAATACTAAATATCAACAAAATGGATATTAAATGTTTATCGTATTTGGAACTTTCTTCTTGCTGAATTTTTGTTTCAGGCCGTTGAGCTTTTGGACATGATGACGCACAGTCAACACATGAACATGCTGGTTTGCCCTAATTGAAAAAATTAATTATATCTTTATTATTAAATAAGCAATTAATTTTTAAATGGATGTAAAATTGATTAATTTAATTTACAAAATGTTTATGATAGTTTAGCTACAGTCATAACTTTAAATGAAAGTTTTGGCATCAGTATTAGACTTTCTTTGCTTGTCTAAAGGAGCTGAATAGAAAATATTGATTTCCTCCACCTCAAATACTCTAAAGTATACTTACATCAACAGACTGACTGCATGGCGTAAAAAAAGGATTCAGTGGCTTAATATCAGCCTTAATAACATCACTCGACTTAATTGGCTTATAGTTCATTTGGAATGGAATTCTATCTTCACCTCCCGGCTTATCATCGCCCATATGTTGGAACCATCGATAAGGAGAACATTTGACAGCACCCCACTGCCCACACATGAGATCAATTGCCTTCTGACCAGTCGATGGCATTAATATATTTTTGCATGACTCATAAGTTCCATTTAAATAGTCTTCCGTTACATACAGATCAATCTCATCCACATAGGTTTCTAATTGAATAAAAAATGTAAATTCATTGGAGATTCTTGAAAATTAATCTATTTTGTAAAGTAATACATTTGATTTTCAGTACAAATATTGTATTAGCTACATTTGTATTTCACCAATTAGAATGTCAATCTAATACATGCAAGTATGATGTTTTAAAATGAGTAATTTATAGCTCCACATGAGTATGCTCATAGTCTGGTAGGGAATCATCAATAGATAAGATAAGAAATTTTTTAATTTTATGGCATATATTTGAGGAAAGGTTGATGTTTTGCTATCTAGATGATAAGCTTTAACATTTTTTTTTTCTTTCAGAACTGACCCGATCAGTCAATAATAAATCATTGCATATTTTTTCGTTATCAACAACAATACAGCAATTTAGTCATCTAACAACGAAACACGAAAATATTAACACCTGCACATGACGCTATCGGAGAATCTCAAGGGCATTAGAATGCAAAAAATGGAAATACACAGTAGCATCAAAATTTTTAGTTTCTTTTATCAGGCATCAATTAATCTCCTGTTACTCAATCAAGACTAAAGTAATTTACTTGAATTTACTCACGATTTTGTTTGTTCTGTTTAGTTCTCTTGACTTCAATAAAATCTGAGTGATGTGGACTGCAAATGAAATCACAAATATGCGTCACTAAATTTTTCATGCATGATGGACAGCGGTTTAGAAGACTCGCAGCTATTTTTATATTTTCGTTGAGTTCGCTTATCTGTGAATGATTTAATTCAAAGGAAAATTTTGATTTTATTCAGGTTTCATTAATTGAGTTAAGGCACGCGTGCTTGATCGTCACGACAATGGCAATTTAAGCAGGCTGGTATCAACTTACTTGATCATTATCACAGCATGTATAGGCATCCTTTCCCTTGGGAACAAGATGTGGGCACCATTGTTCTAAAGCTTTTGCTCCCGATTCATCAAGTTTTCTTGGTGATTTATAGTCGAGACAATTTTTGATTTTTTCTGCACTGCCGCTGGGCACACGATCACATATTCCATACCAAATACATTTTTTCCCATCATTTTTATTTTCAATTTGCGACAGCACTTGACCTATGGCTACCGTCTAAATAGAAAGAAGAGAATTTAAGCATCGCATAAATATAATTAAAGATACTTTAATTTATGATTGATTTAATTGAAAGTTGCACGACATCATTCAACAATTGTCTATTTACAATGCCAGAGAGCAATTAGGGAGCAAGAGGTGATCGTAATAGTTTTGATTCACATGAATTACAGCGGGTCTTTTTTCAGCTGGAAGAACTAGTTTTAAACAATTAATGTTGAGTGTTACTTCTGAAATTGCAGTTACAATTTTAAAAGTCTACAATTGGAACTGACAGACAAAACCTGTCAAAAATGACAAACATTATTGCAAAATATAATTAAATCACTCATATTTAGAATCACAAGTAAAGCCATATCAACTGTTTTTTGGAATAAAAATTTTAACTGTATTAATACAATAATAACATGACTGCCTTGATAACATGTTGACACTGTTTAAAGCAATTTTTGAAGGGATTGTCCACAATTGTTTGTTTTTGCTGTTTCTAATTTCCTAATTTTAATAGTGAACAGATCATTCCTTTTTGCACGATTATTCGATTGTTGGGAATCATTTAAGCTTAAATAATTTTATTGTAAGTGACGTGCTTCACTTTATCCTTAGGGATATTATACATTAATTGTAAGTTAAAAACGGTAGTAAATAGGTTAAGAAAGGAATTTCAAAATATTTAAAATTTTGATCGCAAACGAATCACAATTATTTAAGCTTTGATTAACGTTCAGGAAAACAATTTTGTAGTTAAACTCTAGCTTCAAGTAAATTTTAAAAGACCCTTTAACGATGGGCCATTTATAAAGACATTCAAGTGTTTCTTATATTTTTTTTAATTTGTCTATCATTATTAGGCGTTTTGTGGGGAAAAATTATGTCAAGTGAGGAAGGAAACTTAAACATTTTTGGTCGTGTACTAACGTGTAGATTGTAACCTCAGCTTTAGACCCTTTTTCGACGTCATTGTTAATATGAGTAGAAACGTGCCAGCCTTTTATCTATAAATTACAATTCTTAAACTGGAAGTGTTAACAGACACTTCATAAAATGCTGATTTACTACAAATTTAAAGGTAACGAAAAATTAATACAGAGCAATATTTACAAAGGCACTTCTTCTTTTTCCGCTATAAATTTGTGCTGAAGTAACATTTTTAACCTTTGCGGTTGAAGAATGCGAAGAATTAAAAGATAAAAGGAACATCTGAAGAACGCGAAGAAGAAAATCGAGCATTTACAGCAGTAAACATTTCTTAGTCGCTCAGAAATTATGAATTTTATAAAAAATAAAACAATATTTATCGCAAAACAATACCAAAGTTATGAATTATTAAAATTAGTTTATGTAATAATAACCTCTATTAGTATAGCTATCGAAGTAGAGATAATAATTTAAAATTCAAGTTGATGGAGAATTATTTATAAAAGTTAAAACAAATTTGAAATAGGTTTTTGAAATGAAATAGATGATTTATTGAAGGTTTCTGCCTAAAATCCCTAGAAAACAAAAAAAAACTACGATTGATTATCATCTCGGAATTACTATAGGTCTTTATCACTCGCTGAATCTTTCTCATTAATTATAATGAAATTTATTAAAATTTATTGGAAAGCAAAGCAGTTTGCTATTAACAATAAGCAATGATATATTCTTGTATTCGTCTCGTTTCATAATTGATTGATCCTTATTCGATTTGAAAGTCAAAAGATCTTATGTAAATTCCGGTAAAATAAAATTATTCACAGATGTTCAAGGAATAATTTACAAAGCGCATCTTAATATCTATTTATCATTTTGTGAAAGTTTTTAAAATCAAAAATTGTGTTTGAATTCGTCTGTAATGTTTGCCAAAAAATTTGATTTGCAAACCTAATTTACCGTTTTGTCAAGGAATTTCGACTCAAAACTATTCTTTTTAAAGAGTTTAAAATTTCCTTATAATTATTAAACGTCATTTGCGATTGATTCCCTTAACTTAGGTTCGTTTTTTCATTTCATTAGTTTTTTTTTGCACCGTTGATTGAATTTAGCGAAAGAATTCTCATAACAATGAAAAGATGACAGACATTAATTGACCTTTCGTCACATTTCACATTATGATTTCTACATTCTTCAATGCGTTGTGGCTCTCATTTTTCGTGCACAATTAGATTAAATTGCATAAATGACACATTTTTCTCTCTATTTTAATTACAGTTCACGGAATTCAAGTCATGACAAATAATTGTGTGAAAAATGTTTAAATATAAATTTACCAGAAACAAGATCAATGTCAAGTTTATTAGCTTAAAACTTTGCATTATATTTGATGTGGTTAATAATTGTTAATTGATCATTTGAACACGTTTTATTTGCAAAATTTTATGCTTCTTTTTGGCTTTTTTTTATTTCTTGCAACAACACTTTTTATTTGATATTATTTCACTTTGTGCGATGTTCGTCCAACTCTTATTGAAGCTCGAACGATACTGCGAGAGAAGAAAAATAGCGAAACACAACTCAATGTCTGAATGATCAGCTTATTCGTTCTAATTGAAAAACAACATATGATATGCACATAACATTAATTCAATTTTTTTGATTCTTAAGAAAATTCTCTCTTATTTATTTGTGTTTGTATTGAGCTTAATGATACGGTTTCCTGTTATCTCTCAAAGTGTGAATATCGATCGGCTGATTTATCTCTTTTTTATTGTTTACGAATAACTTTTAATAAATTTTTTTTAACAATGTTTGACTGTGATTAAAATAAGATCGCAGGCTGTTAATTGATCAGAGGCTATAAATGACTGACTCTTAGGGTAAATACTTTTGAAAATTGCACACTCATGTGAAAATAAAAAATACAAATTTCTCCTAGAATATCCACTTCTGATAATACTTTCTTCACAGAATCTTTGTATAATTATTGTACAAATGCTGTTGTACCACTTTGAGTTGTTTAAAGGCATCAGGAAGATGAATTCTTTCAGCAATCAATTTTTCATACAAAACGAAACTTTGCAAAATATAAAGTTTTGGGATAGAATCAGTGGCTTTATCAAATATTTTGATATCCAAAAATGTAGTTCTTAAGCTGTTTAAAATTTTGGAAGTATTTCTTTTATGAAAGAATAAGCGGAAGTGCACAAAAAATCACTTTTAAAAAAGCTTGTTTTTCACTTTTAAAATTTGCACAAAAATATATCAAAACTTTTAAAATTTGCACACTTTTAAGCTTTGGAGACATTGCGAAATTTGATGTAAACATTAATTTTTCGGATTCAAAACATTAATGTTTTATGCCTAAAATAAAGATAAAAGAGAATGGTGATTTTAAAAAATTAGAGGATATCTGAGGATATATTTTGGGCATGTCGGTTATGAAGAATTTAATCTAGAAAATCAAGAAATGTGCTATGCATCTAAACTTTCGATACAGCAAGTTTTAATTCTTACAAAGAATAATTGAATAAAGCAGCATAAAGCATATTAAAATAAATATTTGCAATTTGGAAAATTTAAAAATGGTCTTTATTTTATAGATGAGTTTAAATGATATAACAAACAGCTTATATTTGAGATTTACTCGAACAACTTGATTTTGTAGATAATTCATATAATGGATATGCAGCTTTTCCTTGCTTGATTTTTGTTCAATTTTCCTGTTGATATTTAACGACGATGCTTCTGACGATGTTATAAAAATACAATAACAATAAATTTATTGGATTTCTTTGGAACTTTCCGACGAAACATAATATTTCTTCACCCTTAAAATTGTAAACATATTGTTTGTTGACACAAATTTGATTCAAAAATGTCATGGATTGCAATCAAAAAAGTGTGCAAATTTCAAAAGTCTTATGTGCAAATTTTAAAAATTTCCATGCAAATTTCAAAAGTTGAAAATAAAATGCGAATATCACTGCTGATAAGCATCGTAGCTTTAAAAAAGAGGTTGGAAATGAAAATTTTCACTATTTATATTCACACCGTTTTCACGTGTGAATCTATTGGTTTTGTTCAGATTGAAAAATCAGTTTTTCGCATTTTGTGAGAAAACAAAGCAAAATTGGTTATAAAAAGTCACAGAAGAAAAGTTTGTACCTGAAATTTTACATCATTTTCAAAAAACAGATTTCAAATTGGTTGTGGCATTGCTGAGAAAATCGCAAAATACGCTTTCTGTAAGCAAGCAAACAAGCAAACAAACAAGCAAGTTAATCAGCAAGAAATCTCAATAACGAGACATCGTAGAGACTTCTAGTTTTTTAAATTTGATCCGTGCTGCTCTATAGAAGAGCTGTATTGTTTTTGGGCAAGGTAGGAACAGCCGTTGCTTTAGAAAAAGCAAAAAACTTTCCTTTCTTACGAATTTTTCAAATTAAAAGTTCACTGTGATTTTTTTTTATTTTAAATTAAACTTTGGATGAAAAAAAACTTTTTGAGCAAAGAACCAAGTAGGAAATACATTTTCAATTATGAACTTGGGACAGGTCCAGTCAAAATCTAGTTTTTCACTTTTTTCTTCGAGGATAAATCCAAATACAGTAAAACTTTGTATGAGCATTCTAATCTTCAGGTCACACATTTCTGAATTAATAAAAATCGTTTTTTTGGACAAAATTTTAAGTCACGTTGTTTTTGAATGTACAACCAAATTTATAAAATTTGGGTCTGACGACATATAGAATACATTTCTTGCTTTAGATATTTAAAAATGTTTTGTAGAAATATTAGTATACTCACACAAAGTTTCACTGTAATTGGATAAACCTTCGAAGAAAAAAAGTGAAAAACTAGATTTTGACTAGACCTGTCCCAAGTTCATAATTGAAAATGTATTTCCTACTTGGTTCTTTGCTCAAAAAAATTCAACTCTAGGGTCACCCCTAGTCCAAAATAGAAAATGCATTTCCTTCTTGGTTCTTTGCTCAAAAAATTTTTAGGATGTTTTATTTGTATTTGTTTTAAGAACTAGAATATTTATGCAAAGTTTCAATCCATTTGTATAAACCCTCGAAAAAAAAGTGAAAAAATTGATTTTGACTAGGGTCGCCCTAGTCCAAAATTGAAAATTGATTTTCTATGGTGTACTTTTGTCAAAAAAAATTTTTGGATGTTTTATTTGAATTGACATAACTCTGACATAAATCACATACCAATATTACTTTTTGTAATGCATAGCTTAAAAAAAACGAAATCTAAAATTTCGACTACCCCATCTGAATTTTGTTCATACTCTTCACTGTGGAAACCAAAAAACAAGTTCTTTATCTTAAAACACTTGACAAAATAGCGACATAATTCAGGATTAATTACTTTTTAATAATATTTTAACATTTACGAGAAAATGTGGTTCAAATAAGTGAGTGGTATGGCCGATATTTGGACCAAAATCAGCTATACTTGTTCATAGTGTTCCCGAGGGTGACAAAATTCAAACTAAGTGTTTTTGTAACTGACATAATTATGACATAAATTAGGGTTTATCTTTTGAACTGTGTCGATATAGGTCTCGGCTGTACTTCACGCCCACCCTTCAAACTTATGCTGAGCAAATCTTGGTCTATCCATAAGACTTTTGATGGTACGGTGTGAATATATCCGCATTGGGTTTCTAATTTCAATAGTTTAAAACCTTAAGCAAACCTTAACAAAGATCGGTTAAAAAGTTTCACGCAAATGAAATTTTCATGAACAAAATTGTGCAAATTTCAAAAGTATTTACCCTAGCTAAGGTAATAATTAATTTTAAATTGCAGGAAGTTATTAACATAGAAAATTGGAGGTTTCAACTGACATGACTTAAATACAGATCCTGATTATGAATTGGAGCATAATTCAGTAAAATACTTTTAAAATCTGTTTTATAGCACTACTGTTTTCATATTAGAATATTTAAGTTCATTTTGGGCTGGCTTACTCGGAAAACTATTGTTCCCCAAAAATGTGATCGATCTTTGGAAAATTTAACTTAAACCGTAGCTAGTAAGCTTGAGGTATATTGTATGCTTAAATGCAACAACTTTGACTAAATGTATTTTACAATTAGGAATATCCATAATTTTTGAGAGTATAAATTAATAAAAAATAAGTAGTTCTCAGACAGTTAATTGTGTGCTAATTAAAGGTAATTTGTTCAATAGAAGCTTATAGGTATTTGTCGTTATCTAAGCTATTTAAAAGGGAATCAATGTCTTTAGATATAATTTCAATAAATTAAGCTTACAATTGATTAAGTCTAATGTCTTTAAATTACATTCGATTGACTCTCATCATAATGTCTTCGATTTTTCAAAATTTCAAAACCAAGAAACCAAGGGGTATAAAAAATTTGAATTTATTTTGAATGTTTGAAAATGCTTAAAATTTTTTGAAATAATAGAGGTATGCGTACGACAGGTTACAAAGTTTTTCTGTCAGTATTTTTCGCTATTTTCTCGTGAATTAACTTAATTAACGTAGTTTTCGTGTTATAAACGTGTGTAATCGTTGATATATTTATGGAAATATCTTGAGATATACAACAAGATGATTTTGGATAACGAAGAAAACGAAAATTTGTCATCTTATGAATTGATTAATTTACAAAGCCTAGATAGGTGATTATATGTTTATTTACTAGATTATAAGTTATATTAATCACTTATTCTTGCGATATTTTAGCCGTCAATTTGGATTCTTTAAGCTTAATGCAACTGAAAATGCTAAAAAGAAAGTTTGGGTTTTAAAAGTAAGAATTCGTGTTGTTTGTACTTCCAGAGCCAAAAATATTGCTTCTTCTTATTCAATATGTCCAACATACTAAAATCCTTATTTTTAGGCAATTAAGTATCTAGAACAAATACTCATTGAAGCTCAAACTCGAAAACTACTCGCTGAACAAAATAAATCTATAGATGATGATGCTGCTCCAGAAAATCCACAGTCAAATACAGTTGTGGATGTTGACGAATCCAAACAGGAGGAACAAAATAATGATGATGAAATGAAAGAACAGGAACAGCAATCATCGACGACTGAAAAGGAACCAAAACCGGCAAAAGAAGATGACAAAAGTGAATCAGATGATCTGACAATTGATATTGACCCAAAAACTTATTGCAAATTGGGCCATTTCCACTTGTTGCTAGGTGATTTTGCAAAAGGTGTGTAGATGATTATAAATCATATCAATACGACTTGTGTGCACTTACAGAAATTGAAAGTGAATTTTAATGCTACATTTAATTGATTTTCTAGCCTTATCTGCATATCAGAAATACAAAAGTCTGCGTTATGATTACTGGAAAGATACTGCCTTTTTATACGGATTAGGAATCGTTTATCAACATTATAATGCGTTGAGATGGTGAGTTTCACTTTAAAATTATTAATTCGTGTCGAAAATTGATAAAATGAAATCTGAATGTGCTATTTAAATACTATGGCCTTTAAAACCTAGGCAGAAATCACCAGTTCAACATAACTAAGTGTGTGCGAATAAGTGAATGAATGAATTAGAAAGAAATTGTGTGAAAATACTGTGTATTTTCTTCATCTTCAAACCATGACCTGCCTTAACTATCCATTCTTTTTCATGACTATTATAAAGAAGGATTTTTCTTCTCTCACGTGTGTGTGTGCGTGTGTGTAAGTTCAAGGGAATGGAGGAATGCATAAAGCAGTGGTTCGAAACAATAAATGTTTTATGTTAAATTACGATTAAAAATTCACAAGGTCTTGGCAAATAAATGCATAAAATTTATTTTGCGTCATTCTTTTTACGAAAAAAGAAAACGAAACAAAAGATTAAAATAAAAACCAAAAGAAAGTGCCGTTTTGTAGAGCCAGTACCGTAAAATTGTTTTCGGAATTGCACTTTGGCACGAATGTCATGCGATTTATTCGAAAGAAACAATGTGTGAAATTTGGCGTTTCTGAAAGTAGCAAATTAGTTCAATCCACGGATTAATTTTTTTAATCTAATCTGCAGTAAATGTTTATGCATCACAATGATGAAATGGCAAAATAAAAAGCAAGGATTGAATGAAAATTGACACAACTTTTTGTTCTGTGTTGTCAAATGGAATGGCGTGTCTAGTCAACATATAAATGTGTATTTACATTTTCTAGTGCTGTTTACATACGAAATGAAGATGGCATTTAAATTTAAACAAATTTCTGCGAAGAATTTCTATCACGTTTTCCGTTTACTTCCACGTTGGAATGAACAGACTAAACTTTATAGCCGATAAAATGTCTGGAAATTTTTCCTCACCGGTTTTGTTTATCAAATGAAAATTTATTTTAACTTGAATTCCTTAACACATCATAACTGACTACTATTCACATAAAACACCTTTAATAAGCACATACAATCATCAATTATGAATGGAATATAGGAAGTTTTAAGTTTCTTCTTTTTATTGCTGGATGTAAATAAATAAAAGCTTTATGTTCGGATCAAAAAAAGAGAAGAAAGAGAATGAAATTTAGAAGCTTTTTCTTCTCTGGACTACGTGACTTTATGCACGTTTTGCAATAGTTGAGACGAGAAAAATTCATACTATGGGTAAATGACTGTTTTGGCTGCATGGTGCATACTCTTTTATTTCCTTTTTTTATGAAGATTAATTTTTCGTCATCCTCTCCCAATGACTTGTTCTTCTTTCTGTGCGCGAGAGAAAAAATTGAGCGAAAAGAACCGTGTGTATTTGTGTGTAAATTTTAATATGTATATAAAAATCATCTGGGATGCATTCGACATTAAAATGCGGCGCAAGATGCCTGTTTACCAATTATTTTGCTCTTTTTTGTCTCTTCTTTATTTACTTCCGTGCATTTTTTTGCCGATGAGCATTTGCAGACACATAAAAATAATGAATGGCTTAATAGACATGTGCCTGATGTCAATGCTGTAATTATACTGATTGTTAAGAAATTTGGTTAAATTTTTCATTTATCGACTTTTGCACAGTCGAGCGACTGACATGAGATTCATTGAATGAATCAGTGTTGTAACGTAGTATTTTTATCGATCCAATTTTTTTCTATCCACACTTGAAAATCCGTTTTGTACGTACAAAAAAAAACATTTTTGATTCTTCTTGCTCACTATAATGTGGTCTGTCTGCTTATTTTGAGTATCGGGAGGTTGATGAACCTTTTTGACATTGGAAATGTACCGCAAAATTTTTGTTGATTTATTAACTTTATTTGTTTATTGATCTCTGTTATTGTTTTATTAGAGTCTTGTGATTCAGGCACGATGCATATGATTGAGAATTTCATTGATCTATTCATCAAATATAAAAGTTTATGGATAAATGAGTTTCATTTGATTAGTGGGTTGAAAGAATTTAAGTCGAGATTTTACCTGCATATTATTTTTACCTGATTTCGTACATTGCATGATCGACAGCTAATTCAATAGAATTGAAAAGTTGTAAATAACCATCTGTTGCACAAACTTAAATAAGTAGATTTTGACATTTTCTTAAAAGTTGATTGAAATAAAGGTCGTTTGTTGATGATATTCATTATAAAATGGATTATTCATTTGGAACCCTACCCACACCTAGTGACGTCTTTGATGAACTCATTAATCTTATAACTTTAATCTACTGTATCACAGTTTCACTTCTATAGAATTAAAAAGCTTTTAATTCAAACTCAAATTTCTTTTTAATATTAACTACTCTACAACCTTGATCTTTAACCTTAATTAAATAATTCAAACTTAAAATCTCAAATATTATCAAAATGCCCCAGTTGGTCAAATCTCCTTTAAAACCAGATAAGCGAATGAGGAAATCAAAGAATTTAGGGTAAACCACTATCTTAAATCATCATCGATATCATCACACGAAAGAAAAAAAAAACATTGCAATAAATCCTTGAAAAAGTTCGTCGACGCTGCCATAAACAAACACTTAATGACCTTCATGTGATCTCTTTTAATTTTTTTTTCGCGAGTCAAAACACACAAATACATAAGACTGAATTTAGACCAACAACGATGCACCCGTAAAAATAATAAAAATCACAAAGAAGTGGAATGCAGAAGACTTGTGGTTTATATGTTTGATTTAATTAATTATAGAGAATTTTAAAAACTTTTTTATGAAAACGTTAGTCTCTGATTTGCTTTCGTGTCGAATTTTCGCTTTGTCTGAGGACGTCTTCTTTTTATTCGTCGCGTGCAATGTGCTTTTTTTTTGATTATCAGAATAATTTTCTTCTTCACGCTTTTGTTTTTAGTCATAGATGTGGACTGCATTGAGTTGTTTTAAATATGCTTAGAATGCTTAGTTGTCGAAATTAAGATTTATGTCTGAAATTGTCTGCGAATGTGAATTTTGAAGATTTTGGTAATTTGTATAATGTTCTATATTGTGTTCCTAAAGTTCAAATATTAAAACTTAAGGATAAGGAAGCAGCTCTAAACAACTCTCCAAAGAGAATCTGCGACATAATAATAACTCAATTGCTTTCAATTACATTCCAATAGAAGTATGATGATGAAGGCCACATTCTTTCTGATAAAGCAACCAAGGTCATTAAAATAAAAATAATCAAAGCCGATAAATTGAGCCATTTATCATCATATGGTCTTTCAATACACATTCATCAGATACTATTATTCGATGTAATTAGATACGAAAAAAGTCAATTTTAATATTCATTGATAATCAGCTATAAATTTAGTTCTTTATGTTTCCGTTGATTTTATTCTCAGCGATATGTTTTTATGATTTCTTCTTTTCTATTGCAACTTCTCAGTAAACACCGAACACGATCACGGAGAGGTTTTTTAAAAAAACAAAAATTTATATCTCAAAAAAAAAATTCCTTAGTGTGTAAGAAGGCATGCCACTCTCTATGTAGATACATTTATACATTTCTTCTTATAGTTTGGGTCATTGCCTTCCAATGCCGACAGTACAAGAAGAAGAAGGTAAAAGAGGAAGAAGAAGACTTTAAAATCAAATATATAAAAAAATTAGTGGATTCATTGAATGAGAGACTTGAGACGACTTTTTTTTTTATTCTTTATTCCTCCTTTTTGAGGTAGTATTCGAATTATTTCTGCTTACAATGTCTGAATATACATATTTTTTTGCACAATCAGCTCTAAGTACTTCCCTTGAAATGTTCTTCCGATATTTTTTTTTTCGTTTTAGAAATATACAGAAGTGTACCTACATATTTCACATAAATTTACTTCTCGTGATTGCACGTTGCTTAATTCTGCACATATTTATGAGTATGGAACTGATTTTCGTTGATATTTGCGGTCACTTTGTTGTGAAGAATATTTAATGGAGTTTCTTTTGGGGATAGACTTAATTTTTTTTAAGGAATTTAAATTCTAGTTTAACTCAGAGTCGAGTCGACTTCAAGACTATGTTATAACAACAACTTGATAACTGAAAATCAATCAAATTTTCATTCATAAAATAACAAACCTTAAATTTGCCATCGACCCGAATTTATCAAATTTGCCAAAATATTGCGTTCTAATCACCAAAATTTGACTACTTTTTCCACATAGCTTTTTTTCTTCTTTGTGGATATTTGAGTGTAAAAAATGAGAGTATTGAGCGCACATTATATGTTATGGTCTTTCTCAAAGTATTGGTAAAATGTGGAAAATCACGTATACAAAAAAATTTTCCTATAATGTTATGCAAAAATTTTCACGTGCAATGATTGAATGAAAATTGATTTGAAATAAAAACTTTGAATCAAAAATCTCAAAAAATGATCAGGTACATTGTTAATTAGTCATTTTTAACCATTCATTCATTCAGTTTTATTCTGTCGCATGACTTTTCCTACAATTTTTTTTTATATTAGAAAAGTTTTCATTGTGTATACTTAGAGTCTCGCTCATGTATTTGTGAGTAATGTTTAGATATTCTCGCTCAATTTACAATACCACAGAAATTGAGTAAAATAAAAGAGAGAATCAGTTTGCATCAGACGGTCGTGTGAGACGGACGAAAAAGGGAGAAACGGCATTAAAGAAAAAAGTTGAATTTTTTTAATTTCAAATAAAAATTTTTATTTGAGGTGCCGTTCATTAACTCGTTATATATATATATTTTTTTTCCTACAAAAATAATCAACCTAAACTGCCATTGAGTGTATCATTTTACATGAATTTATAAGTAATAAACTTTTTTGACTAGAAACTAGCATAATATTGACTGATAAGGGATATTTTTAGACATTATTCATTGTGTTCAAAGTTAAGTGTAGAAAATTTTGAAGCAAAAAGTTTGAATGAAAATAAAAAGATACAAATTAGAGAGTAAAGTCATCAATTAAAGGATAAAGTAATAAGTTCAATATCTTAAAAATAAT